GTCAATTCCGTTGATTTTCTCAAGGAACCAACTCTTTGTGTCATATACTTTTTATATTATTATCTTTGTTTCTATTTTATTGAATTCTGCCCTCGGTTTGATTGTTTCTTTCTATCCACCACTGTTCAGTGTGCTTGCTCCTTTTAGTTTCTAAAGCTTCCTGGTGTGCTGTTCAGTTGCTGAGATAATGCTGTGGAACAATCCTTTTATACACTATGGATATGTATTACTTGCTTTTGTTAATAAAAAGCTGAATGGCCAATAGCTGGGCAAGAATAGACTGAGTGTGAGAACCACTCAAAGAGATTTCTGGGAAGAAGAAGAGTGGAGTCAGAGAATAGCCAGAAAACAGAGAAGCAAGATGAAAATGCCATGCTGAGAAAAGTTACCAAGCCAAGTGGCTAAACATAGATAAGAATTATGGATTAATTTATGTGTAAGAGCTAGTTAGTAACAAGCCTGAGTTATCAGCCGGGCATTTATAAGTAATATTCAGCCTCTGAGTTGGTTATTTGTGACTGGGTGGTTAGGACAGAAAATATCCATTTACTGTTCAGTATCTCTCTAATTAATTTGTTTGTTTTTGTAGTCACGTAATGCCATGTACTTGCACCTTAGCACTGCTTTCATTGTGTTCCATAAGTTTGGAAACTCAGTGTATTTATTTTTATTGAATGTTAGGAAGTCTTTAATTTTTTTATTTTTGTCTTCACCAATTTTTTCATTCATTAAAGAGTTTTTCAGTTCCCATGAGTTTGAAAGCATTCTGTTGTTTCTACTATTGTTGATATCCAGCTTTAATCCTTTGTGGTCTGATAGGATGGAGGAGGTTATGTCAATTTTCTTATATCTGTTAACAGTTGCTTTCTGTTCAAGCATGTGGTCAATCTTGGAGAAAGTTCCATGAGGTGTTGTGTAGGGGTGGTTGTCTATGCTTCACCCCTGAAGCACCGCCACTAGTAGGTAGCAAATTCTAGGCACCTGGGGCCGCCTGGGATGTGGCCAAGATGGGAACCACTTAAGATCTGAGATGCATGTGTGCTTAATCTCTATTGGCTAACTCTCGATCCTTGAGGCTGGATGCTGGACTGCAGATGAATTTAGCATTCTCCAGAGAACTGCATTGAACTATGCCTCACTTCTCCTGAATCCCTTAACCAACTCCTCTTGAACCACAAAAAACTAACAATATTTAACAGAATTATGAAACACCAGCAGAGGGTGAATACACCTTTAAGATGATACTGAAACTCTGGATCACTATTTTTGCTTGTGTGTGTGTGTGTGTGTGTGTGTGTGTGTGTGTGTGTGTCCATGCACACATGTGTGAGTATACATTTTGGTACATAAATGGGATCTGGTACTTTTGCCCATGCATAAGTAGGAGTGAGGTTGATGCGTGTGTACCACACTGCTTGGCTTTATGAGGTATCAGACATTTACAACAGACCCTCAAGCTTACAGAGGAAACTTTACGCACCGAGCCATTGCTAACGTTCTAACATGTACTTCTGAGATGGATCAGAAGTCTACTCAGTGTAATAATTAGGAACAAGATTAAAGGAATGCAGTATTTATGATGAAATGGGTGTAAACAGGAAGTAGCCAGATAACCACAAAGCCAGGAGCGCTTGCACATTTTGATCATTAACAATGCATACAAATGCAGCCACTATTGCTTTCAACCACTCTTCCCAATGACAGGCCTCTTTTTACTTCTGGATACAGTCAACTAACAAGGCTAAAACTCCTAGCTGGCATACAGATGCTGTCTTCTAAGACTGTTAAAAAGCCACACTATAAACTAGGAAGGAATTTTTAAGGTTTTCTGTTATGATGATTATAAATATATGGGAATTGAGGTAACAGATATTTGTTAAGGCTTATAGATTTTTAATTAATATTTAAGGTTTAGGTTGCATTACTATATTTGGCTTCATTTAGACCCACATTAGTTGCTAAATTATTTAGGAAGAATTAGCTACTGAGATTGTGTGTCGCTATAAACCCCAAGGAAACGTCAAGTTCAGTGCTTTCTAACTCTTTTTGACTTATGGTGGACATACTATATTTTCTATGGTCCTTGGAAGAAGGTACTTAAAAGTTCACTGTCTTTGTTGGGTTACCTTTCCTGAAGAGACAGGAAATCTTTAGTTACCATAAATGTGACTACCATTAGACCACAGGGGGAAAAAATCTGTCTAAGTCCAGTTTGCAGGACCAATGGCTTTTTATTGGGACTCCTTTCAGGGTTATGTGTTACCCAACAGTAGCTCCATAGTAGGGGAATCTCACCCCAGAATAAAGGAGGCAAATTGGAAGCCGCACCACTGACTTCTCACCCTCAGTTAACCTTCCATCTGTTATAGAACCCACCACAATCTCCAAGACCATGTATAGCTGAGCTGTAAGAGGGAGTGTAGCTAGAATCTCTGATGAAGAATTGGTTATCCCCACCATCCTTGTTTCCACTTGAAAATCATAACAGTTTCACCAGTACTATTGATCTATACTCTTTATTTGGTTACTTCATTGTTACATCTATGAGGACAAGATGTTCAGCAAATCAGCAGAACAATCTATGCCTTGAAGGTCAGTGGTCTTGAGGGCCTAGATTTCATTTTATAATGATTTTAGACTAATATATGAATAGATCAGTAGACACTGCCAGGTTTTTTGTCAACTTTGTGAATGGCATGAAAGTTCATTAGAAATAACTATGAGTGTACTAGAGGGATGGCTCACTAGGTAAAATATTTGCAGCACAAATATGAGTCTAAACATGGGTTTAGAGATCAGAAATCGCTTAAAGCCAGGGTCTTGTATCACACGTTTGTATTCTATCACTCCTACGGTTGGATGAGGGGCACAGGAAGTGACAATTCCTGGAAGTTTTTGGTCTAGCTGGACTTGTATATTCAGTGAATAACTCTGCCTCAAACAAGAAGAATGATTATGTGCACAGTGTGTGTATGTCATAATCAAAGTCTCTCTCTCTCTCTCTCTCTCTCTCTCTCTCTCTCTCTCTCTCTCTCTCTCTCTCCCCTCCATCTTTCTCTTCCTCTCTGCCACAAGCCCCTCCACACGCCACAAAGTGGCACACATATCACTAAAAAGAAAGAAATACATCATATTGACTGAGTTAGAAGAATTCAGAAATAATTGCTGACATGTAGGGGCCAAAACATGGTATACTGCTTTATATAGAAAGAAATGTAACTTTGTGCTAAATGGCTATTTTTGCTGATAAATGATCAATCTCCTTCAAATTAAATAATTATAATTAAAAAATATATTTGATAGACTTCAACATGTGAACATTTATAACAATGGGAAGCAGTTGTTATTATAATATTACAATTATATAATGCTATTATAAAAGAAAACCTGCATATAGAAATCAGCTTTGTAAGCCGGGCGGTGGTGGCGCACACCTTTAATCCCAGCACTCAGGAGGCAGAGCCAGGCGGATCTCTGTGAGTTCGAGGCCAGCCTGGGCTACCAAGTGAGTCCCAGGAAAGGCGCAAAGCTACACAGAGAAACCCTGTCTCGAAAAAACCAAAAACCAAAAAAAAAAAAAAAAAAAAAAAAAAAAAGAAATCAGCTTTGTATAGATAGCTATAAATTGAGGAATGTAATGGAATTTATAAGGAGTCACTTTCACTGTGTGGGGGTTGAGGAGAAAATAACAGATTTAATTAGCTGTATACAATCTCACTGGCCTTCATTCTTTGTCTATTCCTCATGTCCTTACCTCCCTCCCTGCTCCTCATGTTTAATCTAGAGGTGATGGCAGAACCTCTAGTACTTATTCTGAAATCACAAAACATCAGAAAATAAACAATAAAAGGTAGGGAGCATTGATTAATTTATTCAAAATATTCTTGCCCTGCCTATTTGTTTATTATCAAACACATCATGGTGAGGATGACTCAGTGCTGTACGGTTCCAGATTGCAGGGGTTTATAAAGGACAGAGACTGTGAAATTCCTCAAGTAATGATGTGATGTCCATATGATACATAAGAGGGGGATGATATACCTATATATTATATATTCTCTAAAAGATGCTGTGGTAGTGTCAAGTACAAGAGACTTTCAGGAAGAGAAAACCATGGGACCAAGCTCCCAAGCAAGGCAGTGGTAGGAATATTTGGGGGAAAAAAGGAACTCTGTGTAGCTAGGTAGAGAATATTTGTGGAGATATAATGGAAATGAAAATCAAGAGTATTGAAGATTGCATTTGTGAAATGTTGGGAATCACATTAAGATATTAATTTTTAATCTGAAGAGGCGGGGAAACTATTATAGGTATTTGAACATGTACGGATTTGATTTCACTCAGGTATTAATGAAACTTTCTTGGTCTCTGTGGTGAAGAAAAAGTCAAAGACCTAAATTGGAAGCTACTCAGGAAGGGATTATGACAATAATCCAGAGGATTCAACAGATTTTTGCATTTAGGTATCACAGCAGAGCAAGTGACAGGTGGTCAAATTCACATAAATTATGAAGGGCCAGTCTCAAGATTTGATGAAGGGTCAGATACTGTGGAAAAGTGTAAATGGGGTTAACATGATATATATATATATATATATATATATATATATATATATATATATATATATATTATCTTTAGCCTACTTCACATCATATGAGGTTATAAGAAGACAGCAGTCTATGTTATATAAAAGAACCTGCATACACCCCTGACCATACTATCATTCACATCTTGGACTTCTCAGTACTCAATACTTACTATGGGAAGTATTTTCTACTTAGTCTACTTTTGCTGCTGCTATGGCTGTAGCAATTCAACAATTTGAAACACACTTTATGACCTCAATTTTGGAAAGATGGACTCAACAAAGAGAAGTTTGGTCTAAAAAAAAAGAAAAGAAAAAGAAAAAATAGGAACATATCAAATTTTGTGTTGCCCATTCCATTCCACTTTAAAGTTCTATTCCAGTTGCTATTAATTCTGTGCAGCTCCAATGAGAGAATTAGTGGAAACACAGACCTGGGAATAAGCAGTGTATAGGTGGTGACTGATGATCATCAAAAGACATGACTTTCTATGGAGAACCATTTTACAAAATCCACAAGGAGATCTTTGATACTTCAACAAAGAAATAGACTAGATTTCAAAAAATGAAAAAAAAAAGAGGACCAGTGATGCAAGAAGGAAGTTAGACAATACTTCATGCTGGAATCCAACAGGAGGCTGAGAATAGATTTTTCACAGTTCTTTTCAAGGAGGATGAAATTTGCAAATGGACATTACCTAACTGTAGCAATTTGGTACTTATTGCTGACCTTTTTCTAAGGACATTAAACAGTAGTGTATAAGTGAAAATAACTGCAATGGTATGAGGCAATAAGAAGAAATAGTTTGAAATTATCAAATAGAGAAAATTTCAAGACACTCTACTAGACTATGGAGAGGAACAGTAGAGAGCTCAGTATATCAAGTGATATATAAAACCGATGATGTTTTCACTGGTTGGAAACCTGGATATTTGAATATTGGTTTTATTGAAGCACCATGCATCCTAGAAAGAGAAGCTTAGAATGTTTAATAATTAGCTCATTGGTATACCTCTTTAAAGCCATCTATGTATGATTACAATAATTAACATTCAATTTGGGGTACTATATCTATATATGCTTTGTTTATAAATGTATAAATATAAATTCTGACACTATGTGGACTATCATAGTAATTATGAAATGGGAACTACTCTTAAACATTGTTTTAATCTAGTATGCTTTGCATATTTTTGAGACTTTTTTGTGTCCTAAGAGGGCTTGGGATAATCCTTTTCTCAAGGTAACTTGTAGGTAAACTTAAAGACATATAATTCATCTACTGTGGGAACTGTAGTATTAATAAATTTTGCTAGAAAGCACATTTTATTTTCAAAATGGGATATACTTGAATAATTATATCAACTATAGCTGCTTCAAGGCTTCTATACTTTCTAATTTTGAAGAACAGAACATGTTGGAGGATCAGTCCCTCCTTCCATGGAGCAAAAGGTGAAAGGAGCTCTAGTCGGAATGCCTCACAGGAGGAGAATAACTTCACTGAAGGGCAAGAAAGAAGAACTGTTCAGAAGATGACTAAGGTTTTGCAAGACTGTGTAGCAAAAATTAAGCTCCGGGGACAAAATCTAAATTATCTACAGTGTATGGGGAATGCTATAAGAACTGAAAAACCACAGGTTTTGTGCATAAAATCTTTGAAACAGTACTATCAATACTGAATACTAGACTTTCCATGATAAATAAGTAGGTAGAGGAGATTCACTGGCCGATGACCAAGGGAAAGTTATAAAGGCCTTCCATCTTCTCAGAGGAGAACTTCATTAATATGGTGATTTGAATAAGATGGCCCCCAAAGTTTCATATATTTGAATGCTTAGTAACCCTGTTGAGGAACTGTTTGAAAGGATGAAAAGAATAGAAGGTGTGGCCTTAGTGGAGTAGTTGTGGTCCTTTTTAAGGAAGTGTGCGCGAGAAGCAGACTTTGGGATTTCAAAAGGCTACACCAAGCCCATTGTCTCCTTCTCTTTCTTTCTGCCATCTGCTTGTAGTTCAGGATGTAGAACTCGCAGCTATTTCTCTAGCTGCATGTCTACTTTCCTGCCAACATGCTTCCCGTTATGATGATAACGGAGCAAGCCTTTAAAACTTTGAGCAAGCCCCCCAGTTAAATGTTTTCTTTATTAAGAGTTGCCTTGGTCATGTTGTGTTTTCACAGCAATTGCACAGTTAGGAGAACACTACTCTATAACTTTTCTCAATTCTATCATTCCATTTTTTTCAGACTATTCTTGGTAATGCTCCTTTCTACCTCTTAATGTGGAACATAGAGTTGACAGTGGGAGGTATGCAACCCAAATGAACTCTAACTGAACAGTCAGTATCAAGAGAATAGCATATCCTGGAGAGGTATAATGTATGGGCATATCCAGGAAACTTAGAAATGAACACAGGAATGAAGATATATAGATCCCCCCTCTGAAACCAGGTAAACTCTCTGAGCTGGTCTCCACTTGACACTGCTTTGAATATTCTTCTTCTATTGTCCTTTTTTTGCTAGCACATTATATGTAAAATTAAAAAGTCCACTAACTGAAATTGTACACATGTTACATTTCACTGGTAACAGGCAGGAAAAGGAAGACTGGCATCTGAATCTTCAGAACACTGCTTCACCTTACAGGGAAAATCTGGGATTTTTCTCATCGTGAGCTGGGCTGTTCTTTAAAAGTCACATTGTTCTAATCCTCCCTTATTTTACACTACTGTTTGATGGCTGCATCTTAATTTACAGGACCTCAATATGAGGGCTTACTCAGCAAGAGCTTGCTGAAGAGTAATTACTCAAGATCATATTGGAATGGGACAGTTTAGTAATCAAATGTAACTGACTTTCTTCACAGAGGAACTTTAAAGTAAAATAAAAAAGTAATCAGCATTTCCTTACTGTCACATGGCCTCAGAAATCAGTAAGCACATCCACAAATACAATTAAAAGAGAATAATGACCCAAATTTTATTTTTTGTATACTAAAGACAGTCTACTTAATTTTTGTGTGGTTATTCCCCTGGCAGGCTTTATAACAGGCAAGGAAAAAAGGACCCACAAAAGACAGGAATGAAACTCGGCACAGCCCAATTTTATTGTAAGCAGTGCTGGACCAGGACTTACTAGAGTCTGGCTCAGATCATTAAACTTTAGCCACATTTAAGCACAGCACAATTTTTGAAAAAAGTATTTGGGTAAAAATTAACTCAGTCCCAAGTGCACGATAATTTAAGGCATGTTTATGTTGAGATTGCTTGCAAAGTATTTCTGGCTTCTTTCACAAGAATGGGCACTCTTGACTCAGAGATAGTGCTCAAGATTTAGGGTCTAGGGAGTTTGACTGAGGCAAACATAATGCCTGTGGGCGTCAGGATTGGACTGGCCCTAAGATAACACTGAAGTCACTTGGGCTGTTGTAAAGCATAAGTGACATCACCCATAAGACTGAATTTAATGGTCTCAAAGCAATGCCCAAGATTTAGGGTAAAGATCTTGGATAAGGAAAAATATAAATTCTTGGAGATATAGGCAGAGTCTGTCTCATTAGATTGACAAAGGATGCCCAGGTTGTAAAACTACACCATTCCTAGCATTCCAGGAGAAGCATCTATGCACCTCATTATATTGAAGACTAAAGCATATGTTCAACTTTCCTGGCTTTTCTTCAACATGCATGAGGCCTTTTTGCCCTCTACATTTTTGTATTGAAAAAATTCTTCCTATAAGTTAAGCAGTATCTGATATTCTCTCCCACTCTCACTAATTAATTATTAGAAACTTTACAAATCCTGTGCATTATTAGTGGTAAAATACTACGTCCTCTCATAAATGTCCACTTATTTGATGCTTAGAACAATGTCATAGGTGAGTTAAGCATTTCTTTAGTGTTCTCTTTTCCTTGATGATGTGTGTCTAAATCATGGTAAGTTATGTTATTCCACACTTGTATCCTTGGAGAAAAAAAAATCTTAGATAAGAAATGATGACTTTAGAAATTTTAACACATCAGCCACTAGGACCTTATGGTGGTGGATATACACTGGCCAAGCATCCAGTCCTAGTAAAATGAGAAGGATTCCATTATGGTTGAATAGAAAACACACACACACACACACACACACAGAGAGAGAGAGAGAGAGAGAGAGAGAGAGAGAGAGAGAGAGAGAGAGAGAATATGAGAGAGAAAGATAGCACCTTTTTTGATCTCATATAGCAATCACATATTTGCCTAGAAGTGATATTTATAAACTAGGGATCAAAATGCATTGACAACAACATGTCCCTGGCCTCACATACTTTTAAGACTATATAAGAAGAAATATTGTTAAGCATGATAATTGGAAAGACGAATTGAAAAATTGACCAAACATAACATTATCGGGAATCATTGTGCTGACATCATCACCATGTGAGGAGTAACTGAAACTAGGACATCTAGAGACTTCAAATTGAAGTAGATTCAGCATTTCAGGGGTAACTTCTATTTCTGAATTCTTTATCTTCCTATTTTAAGCATGTTGCTCCCTATAGATTCTGTTATTTTGAGGTTTTCTGATACAAAACATGTAAAGTAGAGGATGAGCCATAATATAAGATGTAAGAGCAATAGAGGATGGCATAAAATATATGTTCAAGCCGGGCGGTGGTGGCGCACGCCTTTAATCCCAGCACTCGGGAGGCAGAGCCAGGCGGATCTCTGTGAGTTCGAGGCCAGCCTGGGCTACCAAGTGAGCTCCAGGAAAGGCGCAAAGCTATGCAGAGAAACCCTGTCTCGAAAAAACCAAAAAAAAAAAAATATATATATATATATGTTCAATAATATTGACTATACTGTATACCTTGCTTTTACTAATTATTACTTTTTTTTGGTGGGGGGGGGTTGTTTCCAGACAGGATTTCTCTGTGTAGGTTTGGTGCCTATCCTGGATCTCACTCTGCAGACCAGGCTGGCCTTGAACTCATAGAGATCTGCCTGGCTCTGCCTCCCAAGTTCTGGGATTAAAGGCATGTGCCACTGTTGCCGCCAGGCAATTATTACAATTTTTAATTAACATTATTTTCATTTATTTTACATATAAACCATAGTTTCTCTTTCATTCTCTCCTGTTCCGTCTTCCTGCCTCCCATCTACCTCTTTCCCCATACACTCCTCCTCCATCTCCATTCATTAAGGGGCAGGCCTCCCATGTGTGTGAATGAAGCATGGGACATCAAGTTGAGGCAGGACCAAGTTCCTCCCACTGAATCAAGCCTAGCAGAGCGCCTCCACCTGAATCTGCTGTTGCTTTTTCAGCCAATAATTGCAGCTCCACAATCACTGGCCTGCTTCTCAGACCAATGTCTGATGTATTTTTATATCCCACTGGATCTGCCTCCTGTCCCTGCCACCAAATGTCATTTTAACTAAATCTC